CATTGTGCAAGACACTATCCAAACATATAACAGAAAAGGGGTCCTACCAAAGTGCAAGAATGTTTGCTGTAGATTTTGACAAATGGGTTACAGGGATAATTCTAAAGAAACTGAGTATTGTGTAAAAATATCCAAGTGGATGTTGCTTCATTAAAAAGCGTTTGCAAAGAACACATCAATAGAGTAATTTTTAAGGAATATTTATTTTCAGTTTCATTTAAATAACCCACTTTTGTAACACATGCTAAAATCTTTAAGAAACAGTCTAAGAAATTTCAGCAGTGTAGCCACAGGGATAAATGAAATGCATTTCAGTTCTGTAGATTAAAATACAGAATATGTTTGCCTCATTCTGCATTTTACTTTGTTGCTGCATTTTGGTTTGCTTCACATTAAAAACACATGACTGACACTTGTTATACCAGTAAGCCTTTTTATTGAAAAAAAATATTATTGCATTAAACTACATTCCCAGGAATTCTTTGAATAACCTAAAAAAAAAGCTGCATTGCATGTACAATAGTGCAATTCACTTAGCTACTGTATAATATAAAACACTTTATACAGAGAATACAAAACAAAATTACTAGTTTACATATTATACTAGCCAGAGTATTTTTCAGTTTTAATATAAACTAAACACTTTTAAAATCAATCAGGTTAAATGGCATTTTTATGCAAATCTGCACAACAAATGTACATGTTCCGTATTTTACAGGTATGCCTCCCCTCCAGAAATAAAAATAGAAGTTGCATTGTTTTGGAAGATAGGGAACTCAATTCTGTTATTGGAATTGTACAATAATTGGTGGCCCATATTTTTTGGACTAAGGGCCAAGTCATATAAAATGATGCCAAAATAGTTTATTGACTTTGAGTGCATATCCCATATGAAATCACATACCAATACCACCAGGATACTGTACCTCTCTCTAAAATTGTTCTGAATGGAACAGGAATTGAAACTTGGCTGCACATATCAGATCCAAGAAGGCTGGTATAAATAATGTATAAATGTGTTGAAAAATAATATACTTGGAAAATAAAATGTAAGCGAGTAAATACAGCAAATAATGCATCTTGAATTCTATAATTGTTTAACAAACTCTTTCAAAAAAATCTACTGAAATGCACTAAGAAATCCATTTTAGATTTCTTTCTTTGCATCCAGAGTAGCTATTTTGCATTCACTCATTTTCTGTTCCTTCTTAACCTGTTTTCTCCATTAATAACTTTATTTTTCACAGTTCCATTTTTAGGTGTTTGTTTTGTATCGCTCTCTTTTGCTTCCTTGGACAACTGCCATAGTTGTCAAAAGCAATAAAGCTCAACTTTTTTCTTGATTAGGCCTTTTTCCAGGATACCACTAGTTTATTTTACTGTATGTTAAGAGATTATGTGTATAAGTATTTTATTAGATGTCTACTAGCAAAGTGCATGGGTCACAACTTTTGTTTCTGTTTTTTCTTTCAGATTTGTTTTTCTGTCAATAGTTCTTGTTACCTTTAAAAAGAAGTATTCCTCATCCCACACAGAATGGGATTTTGAAGCACATGTTTAAATTTAAAGATGAAAATCATTCTATTGAAGCCCACAGGACCACACGGGTAAAGTTGAATATCTGTACCAAGTTTTGATTTAATATGTGAAGTTCATACATAAAAATCTGTGTGTGTTTGTGCATCTACTGTCCTGCAAATCTTTACTGCAATTGTGTGTACAGCTGGATAGCTATCAGTTTGCATGTGCTGTTGTTCAATATGCACATGCAAACACCATAACTATACATACATGCATATATTTGTTCGTGAATTTAAGAATGTTATTTCAACAAAATTTAGCTGGGGTTAAATGGCCTGAAAATGTATTGTTTTAGTGTCTGGAAAAGGTATTGTTTCCACCCCTCCCAAAAGAATCACAGTCTTGTTGAGTGATACTTCTGAGAATTAAGAGGTTAAGATCCTACACGTGCTTTTGCAGCATTCCTTGCACCTCTGTTGGAGAGCCTGATAGACATGTTAATTTCTGCATCTGTCTTGAGTAAGCTTATTCATCTTAAACAGTTTGAAATATTTATGCATGTCTGTTTATTGTTGGTGATTAGTTACCTTTACATCTTGTCTGTTTTCTATTTTTTCACAAAAAATATTCCTATTGAGTACTGTTTAAAACTCAATTATTGAATACATTAAAAACTCCACAGATGTTGTTTTAATGTAATTTTATCTGTATGATGTCAGCTCTATTCAAGAATAACACACTTGGGGTAACATGAACCACTATGAGTCTTATAACAAGAAATCTTTCTATCTCCTTGATAAAGAGATTAATGAATCAAAAAAATTAAAACCAAAAACTGTTTTGAGCTCCACTATGAAGTCATGTTGCTGGTGCCCCCTTTCCCTTTCTGTTTTGGCAGTATATCTAGTTGAGTTTCCAACTAATTATTAAAGACAATGGAAACACTTCATTGTTTTGAATTGAAACACTTAAATCTGTAGGCATCTATTCAGGCAATGATTCCTGTCTTACTAAATAATGCTTATTGTGTCCACCAATTTTGAATATACAACTTGAAACACAGATGATTTGATTTGCAGAGGCTGAACTTTTTTCAGTGAACTGCAAATTCACCAAAACATGGACATTTGTGGGAAGTGAAACTATTTGTGAATTTGGGCTTAATTTGGCAAATTATTTTGACTGCTCTTTGTCCAAAAATGGGAAACTGGAAATTACATTTTTTAACATTTTGAAAACGAAATGTTTTGTTTTGTTCTCTTCAAGATGGCATTATTTATTTAAACAATTAATCTAAAAGGAAATAGGTTGCATGGACGGAATAAATGGCCCAAAAGTGAAAAAGCATGGTTTTGTCTTAGGTTGAATGAAATAGATTAGTTTGAATCAAACTAATTCTTTGTTTCATTGGAAAGCTGACAAAAAATTGACGCAGATCACATTTCTTTTTGCAATTTTTTGTTTTTATCATCAATCTATTATTTCTCAGGGCTGGTGATTAGTTTACTAACAGGTGTTGACAAAAACTTTGAAAAATTAAGCCGTAGGTGGATCAAAATTAGCAAACACTTAAACATGTTGGTGTAATGACACCGATTTACTCTCAAGAGCTCATCCATTGCTCATACTTTTAAACATAAAAAGTGTAGCTGTACTTGATTGTGACTAGATTATTTTAGTCTAGTTTGATTAAAAACAAATTAGAAAATTCAATCATAGATTTTGGTTTTAAAATTGCTAATTTTAATCACAGTTAAGTGTCTTGGTTTTTATAGCTTACTCTTTGTCATGAAATAAGCTTCTTTAAGAGTTGGTTATTAGATGTATTAAGTACTAATTTGAGGTAAATGATTAATTGTGCACCGAATTCTTTCAAATTCATTATGTTTGTAACAGGTACAATCTGTTCACCACTTCATTGGCTGATGCTGTTGGTAGGCATACTTCTACTCTAACTACAATCAAGAACTGAATTTCATGAGGAATATCCAATGTTGTGTATTACAACATCATAAAAGATGACTGATGTGGTCCAAGTTCAGCAAGGTACAGAAGCACATTCTTAGGTTTATACATAGGAACACTCCCCATGTCTTCAATAGAATTATTTATGCTGAAGGTAGTTTTCAGTGCTTTACTGGATTTGTATTCAGAGTATCTTGGGAACAATGTTAGAAACTGCACAGTATGTTCATTGATTCACCAGTGTGTTTTATGTTTTGTTTTGTTTTTTAATTTTTCAGTCCAATGTCAGTTTTTCAGTGCTGAGAATTGATTATCCATTAGAGCTAAATTCCGCCCTGAGTTATACCCATGCATTAATTAATAAGAGTTTCAGCAGGGTTGCAGAGGACAGAAGCAGAATTTGGTCTTTTGGTAAGATTTTCATACCCAACAGCCACTTAAAGAAAATTACTTCCTTGTGGTAGCCATGTAAAGATATGGTTGGCAAACAAATACCAATACTACATTATACTTTTCAACGTATTTTCAATTTACCATGTGCTCAGAAAGGGGTACAAAATGTTCTGTAGAATTTTTTTTTAAGTAGGAAAAATATTTACAAAATCTTTAGGTAAGATTCTCTCCTGGGCTAGAGCTAGACTAGGGCACCAGCTGCAGCTCTCCAAGTCTCAAGGCCAGCTCCAGCCACATTGCAACTTACAGCTGCTGAGGCCTATCAGTGAGTTAAGGTCTTTAATGGATCTTTCCATTAGGAGGTGGAGGTGGGTGAGGGTATTCAGGAAGGAGGCAGAAATGCCATAACCTTTTTTCCACAGACTCCCTCTACACCAAGGCAATTCTTTGCTGTGCATTTGTGACCAAATCACAACTTCTTTCAACTCTCCAGGTGACATGTGGTGACTGTAACATCACTATTGAATCTGGTTTTTTTTTATTTGAACAATATTGATAATTGTGCCTCAGATGTAACTCATCCCCTTTCAGGCTTTTTATGTTATTCAATAGTTTCACCAGCATCTAGAAACTATTTCAAATTTTGTCCAATTAGAGACACCGTAAACAGGCATGATCTCCTGAAAGTGTTTCATGTTCACCTTCTGAAAATTAGGCACATTTAAAGGCTGCTACGTTGGGTGCATTAAAATTGAAGCACCTCAGATCATTAGCCCTGTTGAAAACATGGCCATTATGCTTGCATGTTGTACTTCTAGTTTTAACATCAATCATAGACTTTATTTCAGCTGTCTCTTCTGAAACTGAGCTACCCTCTGCCGAACTAAGTTAGCAGTACCCTCTCCTCCTAGTTCTAATCAAGTGGAAAGCATTCAAATTGCTTTTACTCAGTAGTATGAAAACCAAATCAACATTCATATGCTGTCAGCCACAGTCTTGACATTTAAATATTGCTGATGTGCTCTGAACATAATCATAGGCTTCTCTTAAGATGTATGTTTGAAGACTGAAAAATAATTTTCTTTCAAACTGATTTCTGGAACTAAGGAGTAATAGTTTTGCTAGTTTAGATAACCAGAAATGCTGAAAACTTCTTTCATTGCAGGTAACTGTTGGGTCTGGCTAGAGCAAGAATGGTGGTGAAAATCTTGCCCTTGAAACAATGGATGAATGAATGGATTCAGATGAATTGCAGAAGCTGCAGCTGCATTCAGGTGGGGAGTCAATAAGGTAGGGATAAATGCAGTGTGTGGCAATGATGGGAGGGTCATGGGAGAAGGGTGAATGGGTGTGGTGGAGATGAACTGTAGAGGGTGCCCTGTTAGTAGGGTAGGGTGGGTGGGAATGATGGCTGGAGCTAAAGGTGAAAGAGATATGGGAGTGAAATGCGATTGAGAGAGGGGATGAATGTGGGCCAGAGAAAGATGGCTGCTGTGGGGATGTACGGAAGTTGAGACAGCAAAGCGTTGCAGAAGTGTATGATGTATGGTAGTGAGAGAAGCATGTTGCTGGACAGGAACAGATTGAACTGCTGGTGTAGCAGAGAAGGCAGCTGGTCCTGTGGCAGGCAAAACTTTAAGATGCTTTGCTAGGATTTGTTTCTGCATATGCTGCTGGGCTTGCAGCTGAAGTAACCTGTACTTGTCTATTTCATCTGGGGAAAAAGTTATAGGCTTCTGAGTTAGAGGAGGAGGAGAGATGGATTTACTATACACTTCTAAATCATTTTTTGATTCATCATATTTATGCATAGCACTGTCAAAATAAGAATTTAAATTACTTTCTACTCGATTCAAGTTCATGCTTACATCATGCGGTTCTTCTTTGGTCTCTATTGAATTAGCCACAAGAGAATATCTGTTAGAAGGAAAAGCACCAGGGAAATCATTTGGTACTGGGTCACAGCTTTGTATAAAGGGTTGTACTTCACTAATTAAAATATTTGATTGATCCTTTATTGCTGTGTTCATTTTTAAGTTTGGAGCCTGATGGCCTATCCCTATTTGAATGATGTCTTTAAAAAGACAATTATCATAATCACTACCTGACGTAAGAGTAACATTATTTATCTGCGAAGTTTCAAAATTATCTTTCTCTGAGGTGTTTTCCAATGAACAAATTTCAGTTTTCCGTGCTTCTTTTTTACCTATAGGTAGGGCTTCTTCAGGCAAAGATAACATTTCTGCATCATCTATGGATGATGGAAATTTAATAGAAAAGTGACTTTGTGAGTGGTCCTTCAGTTCGGTCCTACAATTGTTTGGAAATCCCTCTGAATCATGTGCTTGTTCCTGGTTTTTCTTGGAGTGCACTTGTTCTAGAAATAGCCTGGCTGTCAATGACTTTCTTTCTCCTACTATGTCAGCAGAGCCAACATCAAAGATTTTTGATGGGCATCTTGCATTCTGAGAGTCAGAACATGTAGATTCAACTTTTCCTGATGCAGTGTAGTGCTCTCTCTCTCTATCTGCTTTGCTTTTGTTCAGATAGACAGCCTCTCTTGAGAATGATCCTGAACTGCTGCTTCTTGATTTTCTGCCACTGGATGATCTTTCACTGCTTCTTGAATCCCTGGTGAAAAAACTTTTGGAGCAATGGTAGCTTCTACTCTGGGTGTGTTTTCTGCCAGAATATCGGTGTCTGTTTCTGCTTTGCTTTGATCTGTCTGGATGGTGAAAACCTTTAGGTCTTGAATGTTTTTGATATTTAACTGTATCCCTCTGTGTGCAGTTTCTAGTTCTTAGACTTGTAGTGTGAAAGGAGTAATCCTCCTCTGCATCATCAGAAGAGGAAATACAGTTGTGCTTTCTGTGTTTACACTTGTGCCTTTCAACCGTCTTATTTTTTCTTTTACAACAAAAGAGCAAATGACTTCTACTGTGATTGTTTGATCTGTGACTAGAGGAGCTGCTTAGGTAGCTAATTGTACTGCTGATGGAGCTGTCAGAATAGCTAGAATGTCCATCAGAAGATGACTTCTGCGAAGGTGAGAATCGCCAACATCCTGCATAACTTCCATCATCTTCATTTTCTGAATACCTGATATGAGAACTTGCTTTAGAACAAAGGAAACTTCCAGTACAGTCTCTTCCATTGTCACTTATGTCACTGCTGCCTCCAGGTAAGTTTTCAATGGATTTGTAATTGTTTTGGTTTTCAAGTTTTTCTTCAGAATAAATTAAATCACATTTGGTAGCTTTATGTTTTTTAGTCCTAGACATAAAGGCAGAAAAGGAAATTCTTTCATTTCCAATGCTGTGTTTTTTTCTTTCACAGATATGGAAATGGGGCTTTAAAGATCTCCCAGGTGATGTTGCATCCAGAATTTTTTCTCTCAGATAATCCTTTTGTGAGACATCAAGGTAAGCAGGCACTTTGGGTATATTTTCATTCAAATCATCTGAAACATACTTTTGACCATTTCCATTCATTTCTTTTCCTCTGTCTGAATCAGCTTTTTGCTCAGCCTTTCGAGGGCTCGGAGAATCTTTCATCTTCTTTGGTTTCAATGACTGATTATCTTGTTCATTTGACAGTTGCTTGTCTTTTATTAAACCTGAGGCTTCATTTTCATCTGCACTCACATTTGTAGAGTGCTTGTTACAGCTTGCTTTGTTTGTTGTGGGTTGCTTACCATCTCTGTGATTTAAAGAGAGTCTGAAGTCAAAATACAATGGATTACAGCCATAGGAAATACAGGGCTCCGTTTTTGTAAACAAGAGTAGTTCTGTGGGCCACTGAAGGGCAGTGCTGCCATCTTTGCTTATCACATGAAGAAATGACAGTGCTTTAGGCTTAATATCTTGAACTGCTTTCTCCCTTGCAAGCATTTCCATGTTCCCATTTGTGGTTCCTGAACTCTCAAAGGATCTCTCACTTTCGACTGTACTAAGATTGCAATGTAATTCACTTGCACATGCATACTCAGCTGTTTGCTGTGGTGGGAACTCAGCTAGATTATTAGCTAACGTGGTACCACTGTGCTTATAAGTGTTCTTCTGTGTACAAAGCTTGCTTGTTTGGCATAAAGGTGAAATGAGAGTTTCCAGGGGTTTGTCAGACTCATTCAGCTGACTTTCTTGTGCTGTTTCTCTTGGGGTTCCAGTAAAATCCAGACTTGAAATATGTATTTTGGTTTTGGGAAATAAAGGATGAGCATTGAATGTTTCTTCTAATTCTTTGTCACTGCTTTGATCATTTTCCTTTAGTATTTTTGTCTGTGCAGCTATATTACCTGCAATATCTGAGTGACCTTGTGGAATATTTAACCCTTTCTCCACACCTGCTTTTGTATCCTCAGCCACAAGTGTGCAAGAATGACAGCTCTCAGGAGATTGCTTTGTTTTATGGTTGGGTGATTCACTGCAATCATATGCTTCTTCATTGTTTTCACTGAAAACCGATGCTGACGACTCTAACTTCAAAGGGACTTTTTTAGAGAAAGAGAAAGAAACTCCTGTCCTGTGACTAGCATTGGTGCCATCTGGGAACACTTGCAAGACCTGATTTCCAAGTGAATAAACTTTCTCAGTACGTGCTTGGTGTTTGCTTGCTGTTAGCTCCTGTTGTTCTTTCTCTGCAGTGCTTAAAGGGAGAATTTGTCCTTCACACATGGGCCTTACTGAGATTTTGTCATCTTTATCTAGGAAAATTCCTTCTTGCAGTTGCTGCTTTTCCACAATCAGTCTGGGAGTTTTAAGCACTGGTCTACTTCCTGTGATGCTATAAATAGATAAACAGATAAATATATAAATAAAATTGTTGGATTAATTAAAGTTAAATTTAGAAATTATTAGTATTCACCAGGATCAACCTGTGGAAGGAAGTGGTCATCCAAGCTGTTGAAAGGGGAAGTTGTTGTACTGTACTCATGTTTATATCTTCCAACAGTAATTCAATATTGGGCTCCTTCCAAAAGAGCCAGGAAGTCTTTATTCTCCACAGTCAATATGAGTTGTGTGGCACACGTCACATTTTATTCAGTTATGCTGGTAAAAATCCAGCGTAAACTCTGTTAACTTGACTAGTTACTGTGAATTTATACCAGCATAACAGATCTTAATCTTGTTCCTGATAACTATCCTACAGTTTGGTTTCATTTCAGAAGCAGCTTGCTCCAGCCAGAACACGGCCATGCACACCCTGCCCAACCACTCCTGCCAGTTAGGTCATCCCTGGTTGAGACCCCAGAGTGGTCTCAATAAGCAATGTGAGCCAGGTTTGGAATATGTGAGCTGGAGTGGGTTGGTGGGGCATGCTGGGAATATTGTATCTGGGACATACATTGGTATAACATTGCATTGCATCTGCATTGGTATAAACATATCCACAGTGATGATAGTCCCAATTTGTGAAGTGGTGCCACATACAAAACTTGATGGCAGAAGATTCAGACCTCTTTTTCATGCATTTTAATCTGTGCTCCTTTCAGAATTAAGTATTTTTATGATCTCTTCCATGTTTATATTTCTAACATGTTTTACAATAAAATTCTTTTTGTGAAAATTTCAAAGAAAAACTAAGTATAAAAAAGAAATATATAAAATACCTCCTTCTTCTGCACTTTATTTTGATACAGTTCCACACTCGTGTGTGCAACTGACTTCGTTTAATGTTAATAGCAATTGTGCATGAACATTCAAAACTAGTTTCAGTATCTGCCAGTATGTGGCTATTTCTTTCATATCATCTTCCCCTGTGTCTTACTCTTGACCTATGTGTGATTTGCCTTCCTGGTCATTTCAGTTAAGTTCAAAGTATTCTAATTTGACTATGAAACAATAAAAAAAGGAAAACTACCACTTTTCCTTATTTTGTATTGGAGAGGGGGAATTCATAACCTCCATAGAGATGTTCTCCAATCAGTGCTTTAAAAATATGTTTAGTAGTAGAGCAAATATCTAATTTTGCGATTGATGCTCTGTTGCAGAACTATTATGTAATACACAGCTAAGCAGCATGGAAACTAAATCCAATAAATAAAGTAAAATCATAAAATTGAACATGTAGTAAATTGGTTGATTTAAAAGTTGGAAATATTTTAACCAAACAAGGTCAAACTCTATCTAGCTGCTAGCTCTACAAAGCATGTCTTTAAAAATTCAAATATAGGAGGAAAATGGTAAGGGAACACTTATTTCCTCTAGTTCTGGTGCTGCTTCAATCATGGGTGGTACAAAATGATATGACAGGGTGAGCTCAAATGCTTTATTCCATGTGTCTATATGCATACATACCTCATGTAGCAATGGGAGTTCCAAATTAATCCCCACATTGTTTATTTGTTATCATGGAAGAATAAGCTCTTTGGCGTACAGCAAGTGAGTTGTCTTTTTCAGGGTGCCATTACTGGCTAGAACAGTGGTGCACATGGTCAGTGACTTACAGATTACACTGACCAGTGCAGACTACAGACCTAGCAAAAGCCTGAGTTACAAATGATATGTACTTAAGCTGGTATACAATCAACCAGGATACAATATGCATTGCCTTTTGATAACAGCTGAGTTGTATGCAGTCAGCTAGCATCATATTGCAATTATGATGAAACTTTTGTTAACCTGGTGTCAGCCTTGGCCACTTTCAAGAGGCTTGTGCTAAGTAGCTAGAGCAGGCCACAAAGTCCGTTCCAGAGTGGATCATTGCAGACGTTACAACTGGCCTAGGCAGCAAAGTAAAAGAAACAGAACATGGCAAGTAGTATTCCCAGATGGTGAGGAAAGGAGGTAAGAAGTTCTCTCTCCTAGGTCTGTATTTTTCATGAGCAGAAAGACCCCCAGCTAAAAGGTATCTGCCAGGTCCACACCAAAAACTGGTTCAGTCCAGTTCCCCAAATCTCAGTGGAACAGAAATTTGAATAACGCCAATCAGAGGATATTATTAAAATAAACCACGCATAAATATTAGGTGTAAACATGGGGGATTTGGGAGAAGACCTCAATAATTCAAGATTATATGATGCCAATCTGCATGTCACTATCCTCCTTTCTTCTGTGTCTTCCCTGGCTGATATAGGTGAGACTTTGTACTGTGCTGTTGCAGGTTGCAAGTTAGGCATAGTGACAAGTGCTTATTCTTATGCTTTGAAGAATAATCAATAACAGTTGGGTTTACAGGCCTGTTTCTTGCCTCTTTATATTACTTGGTAGCAATATCTTGTCTGCTAAAAGAGAATGGAGAATCACTGAGAAATGTGATTGTATCTTCATTTGATATACAGAAAGGGTAATCTTTAAGGTAATTGTAACTGTCCCTGAATTCTGTGTCAACGCTTGCAAAGAAGTCCTGATCATAGATGGGCTCTCAAAAGACTCAATGGTACTGGGATTTTGGTAATAGCACTTCTGCTTGTCATTACTCCAAAAAAGCCTAGAGCAATCAGGAATCTTGCAGCCCACCTGAATCAAGGAGTGGAGTATTTTCCACTTACTTTCTCAACCATTAGGAGTGGGAAGAGCTACTGCAATGCATTCTAACAGCAGATTCATTGGGTTCTTCCTGGTATAGCAATCACCCACCTATTGCCCACCTTAGAAGAATATCTGCGGAGATATCCCTGTGGCAGAGAAACACAAAAGAATCCTCCTATAGGTAGTCGCATTTCATTCAATGAAGTTGCATGAAAATATACTTTATTATAAGAGGATTCTGCTGTCAGTACTAGGTGTGACAAAGTGATGTCTTACTCAAAAGAGATTACATATGTGTAAATTACTATAGTATACAATGGATTTTATCATTTCCACTGCAGGATAGGAGTTTCATTAGCTATTTAGCTTGTTGTAGCTTATAGAGTCATAGGTTAACATACACACTAGGTCTAGTACTATCTATTCCACTGAAGCATTTGGAATATGTTAGGGCCATTAAACACATTTCTCAAATGTAAATGTTTATTATTATAGACTTTGTATTATATCTCTATAATATAATGCTGGGCAAACTTAACTGAGGTAAACACACAATGATAGCTCTGTTTACTCTAGGGACAAAATACCTAAATGGTCTGAGTATACTAAAAGTAATGAAAAAGTAATGAAAAACAATTCACAGACTAAACACAGAGACATTATGATCTGTTTTGTTTCTTCTTTTCACTTTTCATAAAATGCTAAGAGTTGTACTAATCTGTTCAGGTCAGTGTTAATAAGGTAAAATACTAATATTATAAAAAAATCATCTTCAAATCACTCAGTTTGGGGCAGATTAGATTAAACAGGCTACAGGGGAGGAAAACATAAACCTTCAAATGACAAGTAATTAATTCAGGGATTTTCAATTTTATGGTTTGCAGAACAGGAACATTTTGAGTCAAGGATAACTGAAAATATGTTATAGTATATGTGTTCACAGTACATAATAGAGAGCAGGAAGAAAGTTAGAGATATTTCTCATGGGACTAAGAAAAGGCAGTGTTAAAAAATCATATAAATTTAAAATACTTGCCATTCTGACTGCTTCCGTAACTCAGCAAGCTGATGGAGTCGCTTGAGTGCTTTTTCCTGTTTTTTCTCATCTTTCCACGACTTCGATGCCACATTTCTGGCAAATTCCCTTTGCTTTAAATCTTTCAACCTCTGTGTAAAAAAGGCAAAGAATCAAATATGTACATAAGAGATGCATTCCTTCTGACTAAATTCATGCGTTTCTGCTGAGGCCACTGTGTCACTGGAGGAAAAAAAATAACAATCATCTTAAGCAGAGTATTTTTTCATAACAATGCAACAGACTGACGTATGTTTTGCCTTGTGATTTCCACACCTATATATTTATGATGTACCTCTGTGCATGTATATAATATGTGTGTGTATGTATATATATCTACATGCAATATACAGGTACATACATATATCTCATATGTATTATGTGATGAGTGAAAATCCTGGTTTCACTGACTCAATGAATATATATATGAAACTACTTCTATAAACTTATCTCTATGGGAATATGTATGTATAACATCTTGTATTTGTGAGTCTCTGTGTGTATAATCACAGGTGAATCGGGTTGTGTGTGAGAGAATATGTTTTAAGAACAAACTTATTTTGAGAGAAATGGAGTGTCTAAAATATTTAATTAGGAATATGGAATAGCTTTCTTCTGAGGAATTTCACAACATTTATGGAAAAAAATGTACTGGAAAAATGCAACAGAACCAGGCTGTGAGAAGCCTTTAGTTCCTGAATGTTACATTTCTTAATTAAGAGGTTTTGCACAGGTGATAATGTACAATGAAGAAAGAAGCAGAGTCATCAGAAAAAGTGATGACTGTATTCTTAGGAAAATGGAGATGGTTCATCTTGCTTAGAATTAATTAAAATCTTTAGGACTCCAAGGCTGTAGTGTTAATTTGTAAGCAGATTTTATGTGAGCTAAGTCACCCATTTAAATAAGAGTTGCTAAGGCCTTTGACTGATAGATTCTATAGCTGTAGCTGCATCCTACACAGACTTTACTGCTAGGTAGTCAAGGTCAACTGCAGGAGAGGAATTCTGAATCAAAAGTTGGTTAGGGCAGAGACTGAAAGGACTCCACTGACTACTGTAGAAGTTTGAAATACAGGTTACTTTCTCCCTGTTTCCTTTAAAATAAATACAGTATTAAGCTTGCTCTTCCTTCAGATCCCTTCTGTTTAATGTCAGACTTCTGTTTGTGCAAAACCTACATTTCTTCTACATTCAAGAAGGCCCTTCAATGCCCTTTCACTTGAGACTCTTCTCCCATCTAATCTCATTGTCCTCTGCTCCTCTGTGGATGCTTTCTCTGGATCCCCTACCTGCCTATTTATGTAACTTATACACTGCCCATTATTTTAGTACCTAAGCTATTAACGTATGTATCCTCACAAATAGAGCTGGGCAGGAAAGGGTTTCAACATTCCGCCATTTCATGAATATTTTTTGTGTTTTTAAGCTTCTTCCATTGTGGTTTAGTACAAAACCAAGACATATTTTAATCTTTATGGAAAATTATAGAAAAAAAGAGAGGGGAAAAACTTATTTTGGGAGTGGGCAGTAGTCATGTTCCTCAAGAGGCACTTAGGCTTAAGCCTCCACTTAAATTCAACTGCAATTTTTAATGTGGCTTCTCCAATTCTTTTTAGGTACTTACCTACTTTTTAGCCTGTCAGTGCCTAAGGATTAGCATCCTAAGCACTGCCAATCTCTCAGAGCAAATAGTCACAGACATGAAATATGGGGTCCAAACTTATGAAGCATCATCCAGCAATGCTCAGCCTCATGTAATGTCTCTCAGGGCTCAAGCTAAGACAGACTTCCTGAGTTGATATTCATGCACTGTAGTGTGGAGGCACCTCACTTATCTTTAAATAAGTTATCTCAGGTACTGGAAGAAATATGACCATACAAGTACAAGGCTCTGCCCAGGATATTTAAAGTCCTGCTCACAGCCAGTCCACCCTGTGGAGCTCACTCCAAATCTAGAAGAATGCCAGTGGGGTTCTTTCACAGGGTTCTCCTTCCACACCTACTCCTGAGACCTCTGGTGTGCCTGAGAGTGCCTGCTGGAGATGACCTGAAACAACCTCATGAGAAAACTTCTGAGTTGAAAGTATGGGTAGTTGGCAAGGCTGGGGTGCACCCCTCAAGCAAGTAGGGACACCTTGCTGTTGCAGTGCAAACAAGTCATCAGGCAGCAGTGGTACTGAACCTTATCCGTGGTACTGAACCTTATCCATGGTGCTGCACCTTATCCATGGTGCTGAAGTGCCAGGTCATGCTGACTTCGATCATACAGAGACAGGGAGTGATTCCAAACTGCTCTCTTGGAGGAGGGTTGTTGTGTGCCTGGATTTGGGCTTGAGGCACTGATGATGTTATGAGCAAGTGAGGATTTACCTATCCTGACATCTTTGCAATAATTATAATTAATGAAAATGTCCAGTTTACTGTGTGCTTTGCAAGCTTGGTAAACTTAAATTGTGGGTGCCTCATAGTGCAGTTGCCTTCCCATTCCCACTGCTTCAGCAAATCTGGGTGTTGCAAAATATATGTGCTAATGGATCCAGGCCCTCCAGGTTTCCTCCATGACCTGAGGAAAGGCAGCAGTAATTTCAGAGAGGGGACCTCTGTGCTTGCCCCTCTAGCTGTTACTTCTTCATGATGTTCACACTTCTTTCCATTCACTTCTGTTTCAGATTTGCCTGAAGAAATGACCTGTGATATCACAGCATAGTGGAAAATTTGTAACAGGAAAATTCATCATACTAGGATAATGACTGTTCTGTGTTTGGGTCAAAGACTGAGGACTGAAGTACAGCAGATGCAGAGTTCAGGATCCTGTGAATACTGAGAGGGGTATTTAGAAGTACAGTGGAACTTTTTTCCTTCTTATCCAGCATTGAACTAGATAATGGAAATGTCCATGTAAAATGTAGAGGCTGTAGCAATCAGTAATGTATTGCACAGTGGCTGTTTCAGATAGATAGCCCTGTACAGAGGTTTGAGCAGTTGTTCATGACTTTTCAGGGCCTCAAGTTACCTTGAGGAGTCAGACAGGACAATGCTTACGATGGATTTCTGAAAACTTCACATATGCATACCTACAGGCCAGGTCTACATGAGATGCTGACTGTGCAGTAGTCCGTCACTACATCTTATGTCTACATGAGATGCTGACTGTGCAGTGGTTTGTGACTACTGCATGGTAGTGTCACATGGCAGGAAGCATGGTACAGCACTGCTGTGCAGTAGTCATAAGTTACTGCACAGTCAGCATCACAAAAAAGCCATTCTTTGGTGCAGCTGCACAGTAACTCCAGTTATACAAGTGCTCCGCTTATACAAGTGCTAAATGACTGCACCGTAACGGCTGCACAGTCAGTGTCTCATGTAGATGTGACCACATGTTCTAAAAATCCTGCTATGTGTCAAGGTGGTGCCGAGCAATACTGAGCTCACATTCCTTTAAGAATCTATCCCTAATTCTATATCTTTGGATTGTAAGGAAGGTGGAAGATCCAGATTCAAGTCCCTGAGTTTCTCATATCCTTGATTTGGCTCTGGCTGCCAGGCAATAAAGTACAACACTCTGGCAGAAAAGACTGAGAAACCCAGATTCTGAATTAGATCTAGTTTCAGATCACTGCTCTGGTTATCAGCATGAAGGTGATAACCTGTACTATTGTTCATTTTTAAGGTGGGTTTTTCTTTGAACAGAAAACCCTCCTGGGTCCTAAGAAACCTCCATAGTGAAAGCTTAGTCCAACTAGTACATATCTGCAATAGTATCCATTTAAAAAAAATTGGCATTTTCTAACAAAAATCACTTGTAGAAAAATTGCTAGCCAGCTCTACTCACAACAGAGTGAGGCCCAAAGACACCTGCTCTAAGTAAAATAGTAAATATGTGCTAGAACAAGAAACTTAACCCAATCCTATTTACCCATTGGCTAGCATCTTAACTACTGGAACAGTCAACCTTCCTAACTCACCTCAGCTTTTTCTCTTTCTCTTCACTCTTGTCCACCCTCCTCTGTTAATCCCTCATTCTCTTTTCCCCAGATTCTTCTCTCCCTCCAAAATTTTCTTCATCTTTTTCTTTTTTCCCATGGTCCTCAGTCTATTTTCACTTATGTTCTTTCCTCTTTGCTATTCCTGTTTTCTATGATGCTCATAACTATAAAATCATTCCCTTCAAAACCCATTCCTTCCTCTCCTTCCAGCCACCCTTTCTCCTCACTACCACTAGTATTTCCTTCCTCTTAACAGTGCCAGTCCCTACACTTGTTAGCTTTTCCACCATATCCCCATGTTCTTCTCCTTTCCAAAGCCACCTCGCTATTTTCTTTCCTTCTGAATCCTCTTCTTTGCCCCAGCTCTGAGGTACTGACTTCATTGGAACCTAAAGAAATTCAACAAATCTAGTTGGAAAATAGAATTTCCCTAATACAGAAAACTTGGATTTTCTTTTGATCATTCTTATTTGGGACAAAAAGTAAAACAAAAAAATTGTGAACAGAAAAATGACAAATTGGAAAATCAAAGTGGAATTTTTCAGGTTGTTCCCCATTGTCTGATAACTAGGACAGCTGCTGCCCAGGACTGCCCGGCTCCCTTCTGAGCTTGGGACTGGATAACCATTGGAGGCAGTTGTCCAAGGTGTTCACTCAGCAACTAGCTCCTCTGGGGGCTAGAAAACACCCTAGGAGTCGGGATCTCTCAAGAGGTTGTTCGCCAGCAGCTGGGGGATTCCTGGCTGCCAGGAACCCTGCTCACCTGGCTTTCATTAAAATTTTTGAGAGAAATGCTACAAATCTGGGGAAAGTTCTGAATCTGTCAGATCAGCACTTTCAAAAGGAACACTTTCCTGTCAGAAAACTGTCAGCCAGTACTGGTGCTTGGTATCTCAGAGGACTGAATTCTGCAATGGTACATCTGCAAATCCCTATTTAAAAGACTCAAACTTTCACAGCCTTGAAAACAAACAGGTTTGTTTTCACCCATGCTCTTCTATTTTTCTCTATCCCCCCACACCTCCATTGTCAACCTGAAATATGTCATATACTGCCCTCTTCTTCTGAACACTTCTCACTCTCTGCAATTTATAATTAAATACA